TGTGTGTGTGTGTGTGTGTATGTGTGTGTGTTGTGTTAAGAAACAATATTTATGTAGAAAACTTGAGATTTCTGCTTGGCAAATATTCTATCATAGTCAGTTCCCATTAAAAACAACAACACAGCCTATAGAAGTGAATTATTCAGGCACCAAGTACTAATAGATTTCAAGGCAATGCTTGTTGGGATTCAGGGGTATGCTGTGTGATTTACTGTAGAAGAAGCTAGAAATAGGAAAGTGTCGGCAGCATGGATGCTTTTATTGTCCTTACCAGAGTCTCTTTAGAAGTCAGAGTTCTCCTTCTCCGAGCCTGTGCATATAGGCTGCCTAAAGCTCTTGCTCTCCTTCTTTAGGAACCACCTTCAGCCAATGATAAGTTTCCTCATGCTGCTATGACTACAACAGGCCACAGTGGTGGTACAACTGTTGGCCCCTGGTTTCTAGGCAAGAAATTCTCTTCCACTAGTGACACCCCTTTTAACCATGGAAAATTTTACCCTGGGTATATAGGATATATAAGGCAGGCATATAAATGAAATATTCACTGGCAGTAAATTATAAAGAAATACTTTAAATGCTTGGTGTATACATAATTTTAGATTGAAGATCAAAGCAAATTTGAGTACTAATCAAATGGCTTACTAATTTTTCCATGAAGTATTAAATCTTGGCTAAATATTTGATACTGCAGGTTGGAGAGCCTCTTAGCACACTTAGAGTTGATCAATATTTTAATTTTATAATTGTCAATGATAAGAACTCTGCTTTGTATAAATATACAGTACAAAATAGCAGAAGTATGTTTAAGGCCATTTCAGAAATTATTAGATATAATAATTAAAGAAATAAAATTTAGTCTGCTACTCAAACAACAGTTATAACACTCAAAGATGGCATAAACAGTCAAATATGGCATGGTGGCATGCACAGTGCCAGATGTTCATGCCACAGCCTAGAGTCTCAGTGAAGGATTGTCTGAGATGTGGCCCATCAGCATGTCTGTAGAGGATTGTCTTGCTCGCCTAGCAGGGACACTGTTGGAAAGTTGGAGGCACCATTCCTTGATTTTATACCCTGAACTGCAGAAGAATGTTGACAGCTAGTTCCGTAATAAACGTGTATGCATCCATTTCTCCCTGCTCTTGACTGTGGATGTGACAAGCTTCTGACTTGCAACTCCCAGATAGGATGGATTTAATACAGAATTGTTAGCCAGATAACCCCCTTTCTCCTCTAAGTTGCTTTATGTCAAGGTATTTCGTCTCCGTAAAAGAAATGAAAAGAGGATGTTGCCATGTCAATCAAGCTCATGCACCTAGATTCTGGATCCTTCCCTTGTTTAGCCAAATCCCTTCTTGTTTTTTCCCTTCTTGTTTTGCATTTCCCTTTCTGCCTTTATCTGAGGCTGAACAGTAGCTATGACATGTGCTTCGGCACATTTTCTGTATTTGGATCCCTTTGCATGGGCATAACACTCAGACATCCAGGTGTCTCCCTGTCTGAGCATCTATGTCTGGGTCTTCTAGTAAACTGTGTGTTTTTACTCTGGAATCCTACATTTCTGCTTGTTGGTCTTGACCTTCAACCTTCACCTGCTCTTCGCTGCCTTGTTTGAGGCAGGCACACAGGCGGTTCCCATCAGTGCTCATCTCTCTGAATTTAACCTCCATTTCTCCTTGCCCACAGTCCATCACTGCACTATTTCTGCCTTGACTCTGGGCCCTCCTGCTTGTTCCTGCCCTGCTGTTACCTGCTCCCAATATGACAAGTATGATTATCAAAAGGCCTGTTTTCCAGAGATTTTATAAGACAACCTGCAATTTCCTATCCTTCAGTGGGAGAAAGGTTCTCAGTTCAGGAGCTGAACAGAAAATAAAAAAAAAAAAAAAAGTGAATGGTTCAGGGGAAGGCACTTAATCCTCTTCAGTTCTGCCAGAATCTGACATCATTAAGAAGATAAGTAAATAATACTGGAGGCAGCATCAAGATAAAATGTAAATGTGCGCAATGCAGCTTTTGCACTTAACCAGCCCTTTCTTTTCAGTATTAGTTTCTTATTGCTACTGAAATAAATTCTACAAACCTAACGGCTCAGAACCAATTTATTTCTGTGCCATTGTTGAGATGAGCAGTCAGAAGGAGCTTCGGTGAGTTCTGTATATGGCATCCAAGTGTTGGTAGGCTATGTTCCTTGAGGGTGTGTCCAGCCTGTGACTCATAAAAACAAACCTGGCCAAGGATAGCTGTGAATGCAGCCTACCAAAAACTGTAAATGTAAATATTGTGATGTTTTTGAAATTGCTTTTGTATTAGGTTGCACGGTCCTTTTGTTAATTTCAAAGAAGTTATTTTAATTTAAATGTACGAGTATTTTGCCTTCATGTGTGTTTGTGTACCATGTGAATGCAGTGCCTGAGATAGCCAGAAGAGGGCATTGGATGCCCTGTAACTGGAGTTATAGATGGTTATGATCTGCTATATGGGTGCTGGGAATTGAACCCAAGTCTTCTGCAAGAGCAGAGAGTTCTCTTAACTGCTGAGTAACCTCTCTAGTCTTGATTGCAGCTTTTTTATTGTGAACTTTACAGATGATAATGCTGTTTTATAATGACATACACACACACACACACACACACACACACACACACACACACACACACGCACGCACACACAGAGTGTGTGTATTTTCTCAGGTTCTGGGTATTCGGGTATGGGAATCTTTATTAGTATATTGACAACATTTTCCTTTGCTAATTTGTGGTTAATTTGCAAAACTCTTGTAACACCAGAATGTTCCTTCATGTTAAGTGTTTTGTGTACCTTCTCATTTATTGCTCAAAGTGACTCTACAGGTGGGCACTTTTTTACAAATCTATTGTGTATGGGAAGAAAGAGAGGGGAGGAGAGAGGAAAAGAAACATTATAAATAAATCAAGTAGTACAATATCTAACTAACCTCTATCACTGACTCATCTGTAGGCATTACAGTCTTCTTGCATTGTTTTGATAAAAATAGTGAAAATGGAACCCTTTGGGTGACCCTGCATCATCTGAAGTCTCCTCCCCTATTCATTCTGCATCTTTTCCAAATCAGGATTCAATCCCTGTATTTTCCAGAATCTTTTCTACATCCTTATCACACTATTGTGAATGATGGGGAGTACTTTAGTGTTTGGTAGCTTTTTACACCTGGGTCTAAGTTGTATTATCTCTTGCAAGGATACTCCAAGGCATGCACAAGTGGCTAGGAGCTATTGTGGTCCTCCTCACTCCTGGTCCCTTCCATGACTTTGTTCTGGTCATGGTGGGTCATTTCTGGCATATTAGTGGATCTATGGCTGACTCTCTTGTTGTCCTGACTTTTGACAATGCCATTGACTTTGGAGATGTAGAGGTGATCCAGTTTGACATAGAAAGTTAAAACAATAATGTGAAGGAAACTGTCCCCTCTGACTCTCCTGAGTAGTTTGGAGCATGTCTCTCCCTCTGGTGGAACTCTTGGTGACTCTGTTTCCTGTCTCTTTGTCTGCTATATCCTCATGGGGTTGGTACTGCCTCATTAGCTGCCCTGGCCATTCCTGTATCTCCATCTTAACATGTCCCTGATGGTAGGTGGATTGGAAAATTACATGAAAAAATGGGTTATGCACATGGAGAGAATATTTTCTTCATGGAAAAAGCAACAGAGATCTCATCTGGAAAGACTTGGGGCCTGAGAAATCATAAATATCCAGGTTTCTCTAAATCCAACCAGACAATTAGAACCCTCCATTTCACTTTAGAGATAAAAATTACATTAAAGCAGGCAATGGGGATAAAGTCTTAGGGAGAAGTGTTTGAATTGATGCTGGAAAGCCTAGATGAGGGATGTGTTTGCTCTACGTATTTATTTAACCTCTTTGACATTTGATTCTTCCGAGGAGAGCAGCAATAATACACACCTCAACAAGGCTGTGAAGATTAAAATGGAGAATTATACAAAAGCACCCAGCTTAGGATCTGCCACATACTAGGTGCTTAGTAAATATCCACTCAAAATGCATCCACATGCATGCCTTACCAGTTATTACAGCTTGCTACTGTGAAAGAATTTATTTAACCCAAAACATCATACCTAAAATGTGGGTTACTAAAGACAAACACCTATGTGTATTTGCCCTGATTTTGCAAATCTTGGTAGATTTGGCATGGGAAAGTGAATGGAATTTTATATGTTAGGGACTCATAGTCTCAAGTAGGGAATAGTCATGGACCAGGATGTGTGGAATGTTTGCATGATAGAGGCACCCCTGTCTTTCAGGTGGTAGTGTGATTGATGAGGGAACTTCCTAGAGATAGCGGCAAGCTGAGCATGGATTAGTGGGAGATGGGCTATTCCCAGGGACATAGAGAGTAAAGAGAATGTGGCAAGGAAGGGAGGTAGAAAAACCCCTATTCATAGTGACAGCCTGGGGCTGATGGGGGTCAAAGCCTGTGGGTGGGTGAGACATTGGTCACCAGCTGAGGAGCTGAGAGCAAGGATGATTACTGATGCTCTGTGTGGGCTGGAATTTTTGTTAATCTGCTGAAGCCTGTCTTTGGGGAAATATTGTGGTTTCTGCTTATGAGATGAAGGGAAATAGGAGGGAGGAAGGGTAAGGGGATATAGCCGGCTCCAAATGTGTGCTGAGCCAGGAGCCGAGATGATTAGGAGAAGCATTTGTCCCGGCCCCTTCCAACTAGGCATCCCTCCTCTTGAACCATCTCTTCTTGCTCTCCCCCTTCATTCCTTCATGTTTTTTGAGAAAGGGCTCATTATATAGGCTGACCTCAAACTTGTAAGCCTCCTGCCTCAGCTTCTAGAGTGCCGGGCTGACAGACATGTGGTAGTGGAGTTTGTCATTGTATTTCAAGGAAGTCCTGGGCCTCTGGAATATGCAAGGGTCATGGGGTCTATGTTGAAGATTGCCAGGAAGCCTCTGATGCTATCATTTCTTCTCTTTCCCTTCCTGTGTCCTCAGCAATGGAATGGCAGAGACACGGCCCTCATGGTCACTCGTGTGGTCAACCACAGGCGCTTCTCAGCCACAGTCAGTGTGGCAGACACCTCTCAGCGAAGTGTCTCCAAGTATCGATGTGTAATCCGCTCAGATGGTGGGTCTGGTGTGTCCAACTATGCAGAGCTGATCGTGAAAGGTGAGTGCCACAACTTTACCAAGTGACTGGTTACAGGACTTCTTCACTCTGTTTTACACAGCAAAAGCTGTTGCTTCCTCCTCCTCATAACAGCACAAGGCAGGTTTTCAGTCACTGCTTTCCAGAAAATTCTCCCGTAAGGGCTATGTACATGTGGGTTATATGCCACAGAAGCAACTTTCAAATTTAACTTGATTTAGTATTTCAAATCAAGATGATCACGTGTACTTTGTGGTTTAGGGTTGTCCTACTGAGATGTTCTCATAGGCTTGTTTGGGGTGGGGGTGGGGGAGGTTAACTGCAAGTTCCATATAATGAAAATATTTCAGAAAGGCTGTTGAAATAGTAAGCCTACCTCCCAAATGGTCTTGAGTCAAGGTTCATAGTGTGTGTGTGTGTGTGTGTGTGTGTGTGTGTGTGTGTGTGTGTGTGTGTGTGTGTGTGTTTATTCACCTTGAGGTACTATTTCCATGCTTCTCATTACAATATGCACATGGTCCCCTGTCTTTGTTACTTTTCTGTTGCTAGACAAAACACCATGGCTAAGGCAACTTATAAAGTAACATTTAATTTGAAGCTCATGGTTCCATAAGGTTTGAGTCCATGATCATTACTGTATGGGGGTGGGGGGGGGCGGAGGGGAGGCTGCAGACAGGTAGGCGTGGTGATGGAGCAGTAGCAAAGAGCTCACATCTTGATCTACAAGCACAAGGCAAAGAGAGAACAAAATAGGAATCACCTGGCCCTTGAAACCTCAGAGTTCACCCTCAGTGACACACCTGCTCCAATAAGATCACACCTTCTAATCCTTCCCAAAAAGTTGTCAACTGTGGACCAGGTATTCAAATGTATGAGCTGATGGGGGCAATTCTCATTCAAACCACCACATTCCTCTTTCTGCCTCTTAGGCAAGGTTACAAATGCTATGCCTACTCAAGCTCTTCTTTGAGTTTCATATTTATCAGGCATATACAGTTTGTGCTGGTTTGAATGAGCAATATTACTCATAGGCTCACATATTTGAACACTTGGCTTCAAGTGTCTGGCATTGTTTGAGAAGGTCACAGAACCTTTAGGAGGCAGAGCCTTGGAGGAAGTTGTCGGTGGGTATGAGCTTTGAGAGGTCATAGCCTTGACCTCACCCAGCTTCTACTTTGTTCTCTGCTTTGAATTTGTGCAGAAGATGTGATCTCTTATCTTCCTGTTCTGGCTGCCTGCTTTTTACAGCCCCCCCCCCACCATATGGACTCCCTTTCTACAACCATAAGCCAAAATAAACTCTGCCTTCCTTAAGTTGCCTCTGGTCATGGCATTATCAGATCAACAGAAAAGTAACCAACACAATTCTGTCCAATGCATTTTCCTCTTTTTAAAAAATCTCCATATTCACAGTCTTTTAAGTATTTCCAGGTGTTTCTGTTTTTATTATTTCTTCCTTTGAGTATGCAAAAATTTACATCTCAGCACAGTTCTTCCAAAACAACAACAACTCATAATAATTTTAATTTTTTGTATTATACAGAATCAGGTTCTTTCCTTAGATAAATTCTCTGGAAGTTGAATTGGTAGACCAAAGCATATGAATATCGTTATGGATTTTCTTCTCTGTATTGTAATATTGCTTTTGCAAAGAATTGTTTGGTGGTTTACACAGGCAGCAACAGTGTATGAATGTATTCATTTTATCACTGCTATGTTCACTGATTAAAATTTCAATATAGCAATATTTAGTGAATGAAATAATGAACCTGTTCATATTATGCCAGCTGTAGAATAATACCTGCTGTGTTTGAAGGGATAAAAAATTGCTTCATTCTCAGAAGGCTCTGGTTGTTTGCTGCTGCTGCTGCGCTGCTGCTGCTGCTGCTGCTGCTGCTACTACTACTACTACTACTACTACTACTACTACTACTACTACTACTACTACTACTACTACTACTACTACTACTGTTTTGGTTGATCATGGATTGTGTAAAAACTTTGACTTCTCTGTGCTGGCTCTGTGTGACTGGTGGCTTCAAAGGGATCAGAATGGAGATTGCTGTCTGGACTCTCTATTGTGAACTCTCCTGACTCTGGGTGGATAGTCACATTGTATAGTCACATTGAGGATGATGTGTTAATATTCACATCACCTCATCTCTCCTTTCCTACTGTGATGGCCAATAGCAACTGCCAATTTGATGGGGTCTAGATTCGCCTATGAGACAAGCCTCTGGTTGTGTCTCTCAGGGGTTATCTACATTTTGGTTGGTCGTGGGATGTACCCTTGAGGGATTATCTGTATTAAGTCACATGGGAAGGATATCTTAACTATGGGCAGGATGGTTAAATGAGCTGAGATCCTGGACTGAATAATAAGATAGGGAGTCTAGTGCCAGGATTCATCTGCCTCTGCTTCCTGATTGTGGATGCAATGCAACCAGCTGCCTCAAGCTGCTGCTGCCATGACAGTCTACCATAAAGGACCTTACTCTGGAACTGTGGGCCAAATTAATGCTTACCTTCAGTTGCTTTTGCCAGGACATCTTACCTCAGCACATCAATGGGGAAAGTAAATAATGCACCTGCATAACTCATATTACACCTCACAAGAATGGCTTCCTTTTGCTTGTGCTTCATTTTGTCTCCCTTTTCATCACACTTGAACTCTGGGAGTTTGAGAGTGTCAGCTGGTCTCTTCTGAGTGCTCCCATTCGAGGCTTATACTTAGCATGGATTCTGTGTTCACTTAACCACAGAAGTTGCTGGTGTTTGACTACTTTCATCGGCATGGTCCATCATTTCCTGAGTCTCAGCCTTAAGATTTCTGTGAACTGATAGATGTGTGACTCAACTATTGGTTTCAGTAGGCATTTATTTCATCACCAGAATGTCATGAACCTTTAAGCCAAAGATCAACAAATTAGGTGGTCATGAACAAAATAATACCAAAAAGGCACCTTTAAGTTCATTCACATGAAGTAACATTAAAATATAAAAGAAGCCATCACTTTGATTGCATTAGGCTCAGATCTTTGCTTTTCTGGTCCCATAAGATTGATTCGTGTGACACAGTGACCTTTGCAGACCTTTCAAATACTCAGTGAATGTGTAATTTCCTAAGTTGTCTTAGGAACACTCATTGTACCGGTTCATACTTGATTTCCCACTCTGCTTTGGGAGGCCCACAGTAGAATGCCCATTCTCTTATGTACAGTCTTAGTGGTGTAAAAACTTTGGCTTCTCTTTGCTGGCTCTGTGTGACTTGTAGCTTCAATGGGGCCAGAATGGAGATCACTGTCTGAACTCTCTATTCTGAACTATCCTGACTTGGGGTGGATAGTCACATGGAGGATGATGTGTTAACATTCAAACCACCGCATCTCTCCTTTCCTACTGTAATAGTCAATAGCAGCTGTCAGTTTGATGGAGTCTAGATTCACCTATGAAACAAGCCTCTGGCTGTGCCTATCAGGAGTTATCTTGATTTGGTTGGCCTTGGGATGTACCTGTGAGGCACCTTGCATGGTCGTGACTGGTGTGAAGTGATGATGAGGTGATGGGGAAAACCATAGGCGTCAGTGCTGTACCCTGAAGTTTGTACTCACAGAAAAATGGGGCCAGAAGATGCTTGTCTTCTATTCAGTGTCGGGGTGAAGAGATGTGGAAGTGCTGATCTGTAGGCTACTGAGCCAGGGGGATTGCTGAAGCAATGCTGCCTTGGCTTGGAGAGGTGGCCCCTGGGACAGTGCTTTGCCATTTGTTGGCTGTGCTAACTGAGGCCTAATTAAGGCAAAGGGGACAGTGTGAATTCTGGCCCCATGTGCTTTAGTCAAATGTTGCACTGTGACCCAGCAGCTATTGCTGCTCCAAAACTCCTTCCCCTGCAGCCCATGCTCTCTCCTTTGAGAGGTGTGCTGGGAGCTTCTGCAGCTCCTCCATAGCAGACAGTGGTGAATTGGTCCTTTCTGTAATCTGGCTCCGTTTTCTGACTCCTTGATGAAATTCATCCATTTTTTTTTGGATAGGATTTTACTTTTAAGTACCCCACCCCCACATTTTAATATCAAGTGGGTGATAAGCCATTTGCTTGGCCCCCTCACATATGTTGTCTCATTTTATCTTAATTGCAGCTATGCACATTGGTTTTTATTTCAGCTTCTTTTATAGCTGAGAGAGCCAGCACTGTGAGGTTGAAGAGCTGAGGGTCATCCTAAGGGGAAAGCTGAGGTTTGGATCTGGGTCTGAGGTGTGCTACTATAGCTATGTGTGTGTGGTGGGGAAGGGATTAGGGCTTTGTTGGCTCCTGGTATCACAATGTATATGGCTGTGGGAGGCCGGGTCACTCACGGTCACTCACAGGTACCCAACGGAAACCTGTCAGACTGCAGTAGGTGCCTAGTGGCCCATTGAAGGCAGGGGATGAGAGCATTTGAGATCAAAGTCTTATGAAGAACGACTCTCCCCACCAAAAGCCCTTAGCCTTGGCTGAGCCAGTGGCTTACATGCTTCCATACTGAGATGTTTGAATTAAAATGAAAAGAAGAATAATAGTTACCCTTTTATCGAAGAAAGGCGAAATATCTGAAAAGCAATGGAAACTGACTTCTTAAGGGCCACTTGCTGCTGAGACAGTGACCCACATTGTCATTCCTCCTCCTGAGTGGTAATGGATTTTGCTCATCACACAGATTGTGTGGACCGAGGAGTCAGTCATGAGCGTTCAGTTGACTTTGGGGCATCAGGGAAGGAAAATGATCCTTGTATGATTTTTCTTCCATATACACAGTAATGCCTGAGTCAAGATGCCTGGCTTGGAATCCTCAACCTCTGGTGACCCATTTCTGTGACTTTGAACATGGTTCAAACCTCTCAGGGCCTCAGAAGATACATCTGGAAATGAGGTTCTAGGATTTTGTCCCTGGGAGAGTGTTGTGAGGGTGAAATGGGATGACCAATGCAGGAGTGTTCAGATCTGTGTCTGATGCACATGCTCTAAGATGATAACATCAGGTCAC